TCAGCAGGATGTGAAGGAATTATTTGTATATTAGCATCTATGTTCTTACCTGTTTTCTGTGTCTCACGAATACTGAGGAATGGAGAAGTTCACATGCTGCTTCTGTACAATAACTTTCGATTTTATTTTTTAGCAACAAACAACAAACACTGTAGAGGAGCCACTCGATCTCATCAGACTCAGTCTAGATGAGCGAATCTATGTCAAAATGAGGAATGACAGAGAGCTTAGAGGCAGGCTACATGTAAGTAAAACTTTCAGAACACTACCATGCTAAGCCCTGAGCAGCCTTTTTTCATTTACAACAGTGTATTACACAGGCTTACCTGTAATATGCCATAAATTGTTTAAAAAATTAGCTTAAAAACACAAGTTGTTGCATCTCACAGTTAAGTGTGCAAATGGTTGAGAAGTTAGTTTAAAAGTCATCTTTGTAACAAGGGCAGAACCCTTTCTCTTATCAGAAGTATAATGTGATCACTGGAAAAATCTAATTTGTTCAGTACTCTGTCTGCTATTAAATGCCTCTCTAGAGATTCAAGAGATGTATTTAGTTTTTTCTGTCTCCTGAATGATATCAAGCAACTAATTCTACTTATTTTTTCTATTTCTGTGTCTGTGAAATAAGCAGTAATTCTGCAGGCCTCCTCTTGTGATGTATCCTGAGGTGCCTTTAAGGCTGAATTAAGAATGAGACTTTTAAAATAATGAGTTTTGGTTGCATTGTATGAATTATAGCTTTCATATCATTAAGTTAGCTTCAGGCAATCAATTTCAGGAGGCTGGATTGGCAGCAGACAATGTATAGCTGGTTTTGTGTTAATGAAATGTGTCTATCTCTGAGTTCTTGCATGTGTCCTTACTGAAAGCTTCAGAGTTATTTCCTGGAAGAGCATTTCAGTTAATGAAAATGGCTTCCCTTTTTTTCTTAATGCTGCAGGTTACTGATTTGTTGGCATTTGTGTTTGAAATCATAACTATAACTGATACTAGTGGCAGATTTTTGGTCAAAATCAGGTTAAACTATGTCTGAAAGTCTTGCTATAATTCTCATTTCAGTGAGGTTGTGTTTGAATTTTTAAAGAAGTAATAAACTAAGTTCATTCTTACAGGCATATGATCAGCACTTAAATATGATTTTGGGTGATGTGGAAGAAACTGTAACTACAATAGAGATTGATGAAGAAACTTATGAAGAAATCTATAAAGTAAGGACTTCAGTGTATTTATCCCCATAGAAAACTTTTTAAAAACTTAACTATATTGTATTGTTAAAGCAGTTTATTGCTGTCTGCTTTTTGAACCAACATCTAAAAAAAATGTTTTGGGCCAAGTGTTATGAAAGTACAAGGGATCTCCAAAGATGTGGTGTTAGTTGTGTCGAATTCTTCAGCAAGCCAGAAGGTTGTATGGCTGAGCTTATGTTGTTGTTTTCTGAGTGTTTTGGTGTTTCTTGAGTTGTTTCTGGTGTTTTGTTATGCTTGAATTTGCTCACATGCTTGGCAGGCATGTTTTGTAAACTATGCTTTTGTAATTGTAAACTTTCTCTTTCCTTCTTCCCAGTCTACCAAAAGGAATATTCCGATGCTGTTTGTCAGAGGTGACGGCGTTGTGCTTGTAGCTCCCCCATTGAGGGTTGGTTGAAGCAGCGAAGGATTTAACCCTGTTGGAAAATTTCAGGCTTTTGGACATTGGTTCATGTTTCAATCATGTGTCTCAAAATTCTGGACGTATTTTTTATAGGGTGTTTTTGTCAACTCTTTTGGGAAGGGAAGGGAAGGAGAACCGGATTGTCTTGCAGAAGGTGCATGTAGTCAGTTGAAGCAGTGTAAACTCAACCTGATTTTCTCAGAATTGATGTAACCCTTGTAAATTGGCTGTCTTGTCACGTCGGTAAAAGGATCTTCATCCCTACAATAGTGCTGTCTTAATTTTTTGTTTTAAATAAATTTGGTTTATCTTTCAGATTTGACTTGTGTTTTTGTTGAACACATTCTTATGATCTTGTATAGAGGTAGTGCTATATTAAGTTGCAGTATGTAGCCTCACTTTCTGAGGCAATAGTAACTTTTGTGTATGTTGTGTCAATTTCTGTCCTTAGTAATACCCACATTTGGCAAGATTGATGTTTGGGAGGGCAATACTACATGAATCTACTATGCTATAATTTATGGCTTTTCTGTGTTCAAATTCTTGATGCACATCCTTGTAGCAGCTAAATAGTGTATGTTTAGACACCCATCTTATCTTAGGATAAGTAAAGAAGATGGGCTTATTTACAATGTTTTCAGATACCTTTATTGTGGCTTTGTTAACAGAGCTGTGACTTGCAAGTCAGAAGTAGAGACCACGTTTGTTGCCTTGCTTTCTGTTGCCTGCTGTGTGCCTTCGTTTCCCACTGTCTGGTGCCTGTTTCAGTTCACTCAATTCTACCGAATGCTTAAGGTACTCATTAGGTATCTGTAGTGAAGGTGCACTAAAACCCTGAACAAAGCTTTTTTTAATACAGACTTTGTCAGCCCTACCTTGTTTGCAATATATTCTGATTATTGTATGGGGGGAGGGGAAGAACTTAAAATGTTTCATAACATACTTTTGAAAGGCACATGAGATGTAGCTCTACACTAGGCCATTTCCTACAGAGCTTGACTTAAAATTAATTTATCTATGTTTTTAAGCATGCTCTGTGACATTAACAAAAGCAGCTTGCTCTGGCACTTTCTCCTGTAGTTAAAATCTTCTTAACTTATGTCCATAGCTTGTGACAGTGGTGTGGAATGCCCTGGTGAGCTTCAAGCCAGATTTGTCTTAAAGGAATACTAACTCTTTTGGCAGTAAAATGTATGTTTGGAGAAAGAATAAGGAAAGCAGCAACTGATTCCAAATCTGCTCTGGCTTATAGGTGGCATCTGTACTTAATTGTTCTCAAGCTTTGACATGTATTGAAAAAATAGGAGTGATAGCTGACTGAAATGTGACACTATTTCTGAGAATTAGTGTATTAACAGCAGTTATAGTCTTAAATCTTTAATTATGTGGAGTCTTGCTCCCATATTCCTTGCACTTGATTCTTGAAAGGACAAATAGCTCCACTTGTGTGCACACAATAATTTGTTATCTTAAACCTGTGTACAATTGTATGATGCTGTTTGCATATTTGGGTCCCTTGTATGCAACTGCAGAAGGTAATATCCGTACAACTTACTACTGTAACATTTGAATGAAGGTACATACATATAGTGCCTTTGTAGCAGGCTTCCCTCAGTGTAACATCCTTGCTTCAAGTTGGTCTGACCATGGGATGACAAAAATTTTCCGTGATTCCTGTTGGATCCATTTCTGTCATGCTGTCCCTGCAAGAGTTAGCTCCCATCAGCTCCTGTTCCCTGGGTACACAACCTTTGATGTTGGAAGAAAGCTAGTGATGCTACAACTGCTCTGGAACAGTTCAAGAATGACTGCGCTGAAATACTTCTTAGTATTCAACTTTCAACTCCTCTAGGAGGCCAGTATAAATGCTTAGAGGGTGAGTAAGAATAGGTGAAGACAGTGATAGTTCTTCAGTTCCCATATCTAGGAAGAGGGAGAGGGTATGTTTCACGGAACCTGAGGAATTTATCTTCCTTTAATTAGTCTACATCTTTTTTGAGTCTGGTAAGACCCTTGCTATGTGTTGTTACAGTATGTAATGTGTTCTCTGAAGAAATACTGCTGGTTTTGGCTTGGCATGTTTTGGGATTGGCTTTGAACTTGCTGCCTGTCACTTTGAGTATAGCAGTGTTGGCTTGGTGGTATCCAGAGATCGAGTATACATGAACCTTTCAGCCTTCTCTAGTCCTAATTGTCCTTCAGTTTTCTTATTTCCAGGTTGCAAACAGATTTTCTATGCCAACATTTTTTATGAAAGCCTGCCCTATTTCTTTTTGTACTGTATGATTTTTGAACTGGAGGACTGACATGATACACAAGATGTTGGTACATCAGGAACTTCTGCCTTGATATATTTTAGGACTAATATCTGTTAATAACACCTGTTAGCTTCTCTGAGAATCATAACAGATGAGAGGTCTCCATTTCCTTTACTTGAGCCATATTTGCCAGCATAACACATTTATCTATCTGTATGTCCAGTAATTCTGTGTTACAGAGTACCAGCATAGTTGAAAGAGGACAGCTCCCCTGACATAGCTCTCCTACATAGCTCACCTGAATCCCTGTTGAACTCTTTAAAGGTTTCTCATATATCACCTTCTGCTTCTTTAGAGGTTTTAAATGAGAGATAATGCATGGTGGTTGCTAGCTCAACTATTGTCTAATAGATCTCTTGGTTATTTACTGTCTGATTATAAAGATTGGTTATTGTTAATGACCATGAAACATCCAGTAGAATCTTTTACTGACCCTCCAATTTGCAACAAACTTTCCAGAGTGGGAGCCAGTCTAAGCTCCTCCATGTTGAGTGTGAATTAAAAAGCTTTTCTGCAGTCTTGTATCTTTTTTTACTGTTTTTTCTATTTTTTGATAATCTTGGCTCTACTAACCCTCTGTCAAGATTCCTGCTCCTGATGTGTTTGAAAAATAATTCATGGTTAATTTTTCTCAAATAATTGCTCAAGATTTCTCAAATGCCTTTTCAAATGCCTTACATTTTTAGCCTGCCAGTATTTTTAATATTACTCATCTGCCTGAATGTTGCCTCTTAATTTCTAGTCTCTTTTCTATAGATAGTAGTAGCTGTCTTCCTCGTAGCCTTCTGGCAGTTTTTAGCCTTTAGAAGTTTGTCTTTTTGGTAGGTAGTAGAGTGATTTCTCAATTTATTGTCTTTGAAGAATTCCTGTTTTGTCTGCAGATATTTCACTCTCAGCAGCTCTTTTTTAACTGGATTTTTATTATGCAATTCCCTTTTTCAGGAGTGTAGGTATAGTTGGACCACTGGTGTCTTACTGCTTTTGTGAGTGTCAGTTGACTGAAATTCTTGTGTGGACTCACTGTAAATTGATCTTTTGAATCTCACACTCCTGCAGGACGCTAGATGGGGCTGCATGGCCTCAACTGCTAGCTGGGCTGGCTTTGCCTGACTGATGTATGTAGCCTGTGTCAACAGGCCCTGTAGTTGTACAATTAGTCATTTGTTTTTAATTAGGATGGCACTTGCTGACAGTTTTAAATTAACTGTGCTGCTCACCCATAAGTAAAGATCAAAATATGTTTTGATGTTTATGTAGGCACAGACCAAGCCCCCAAAAGAGTTAAAGTAAAACAGTCTGTGTGCCTTGTTTTGTCAGACTTTAAAATCTATGAACTCCAGACTAGCAGCTTTTCTAGTACCAGTAGCTGAAGAATTATGCTGTATAGAATAAATTGTGGTTAACCACTTTACTCCACAGGCACTGCTTGGAGAAGAACAGCACATTGTGTGGTATAGAAGGCTGCTTCTGCACCCACTGATTCAAGTGCTTATTGTATGACTGCCCAATAACTTCACAGGAAGGCTTCACTGCAGTTAAAATTCAGCAGGGGGAACAGCACTTAGAGCGTATGTACATTGGATTCCCAAAGTGACAAATATTTCCATTTATTTCAATTCACCAACACTGCTGCCTTCTTGAGCCTATAGAATCATAGAATCATAGAGGTTGGAAGGGACCTCAAAAGATCATCTAGTCCAACCCCCCTGCCAGAGCAAGGTCACCTAGAGTACATCACACAGGAACGCATCCATGTGGGTTTTGAATGTCTCCAGTGAAGGAGACTCCACAACCTCCCTGGGCAGCCTGTTCCAGTGCTCTGTCACTCTTACAGTAAAAAAATTTTTTCGGATATTCACCTTGAACCTCCTATGCTCCAATTTGCACCCATTACCCCTTGTCCTATCACTGGTCATCACTGAGAAAAGCCTAACTCCATCCCCCTGACACTCACCCCTTACATATTTGTAAACATTGATGAGGTCACCCCTCAGTCTCCTCCAAGCTAAAGAGACCCAGCTCCCTCAGCCTTTCCTCATAAGGGAGATGTTCCACTCCCCTAATCATCTTCGTAGCTCTGCGCTGGACTCTTTCAAGCAGTTCCCTGTCCTTCTTGAACTGAGGGGCCCAGAACTGGACACAATACTCCAGATGTGGCCTCACCAATGCAGAATAGAGGGGGAGGAGAACCTCTCTTGACCTACTAACCACACCCTTTCTAATACACCCCAGGATGCCATTGGCCTTCTTGGCCACAAGGGCACATTGCTGGCTCATGGTCATCCTCCTGTCTACCAGGACCCCCAGGTCTCTTTCACCTACACTACTCTCCAGCAGTTCAGCCCCCAACCTGTACTGGGACATGGTGTTGTTCTTCCCCAAATGTAAAACTCTGCACTTCCCCTTGTTGAATTTCATCATGTTTCTCCCCGCCCAACTCACCAACCTATCTAAGTCTCTCTGAATGGCAGCACAGCCTTCTGGTGTGTCAGCCACTCCTCCCAGCTTAGTGTCATCAGCAAACTTGCTGAGGGTACATTCTATACCCTCATCCAGGTCGTTGATGAAGATGTTGAACAACACCGGTCCCAGCACCGACCCTTGTGGGACTCCACTAGTAACACACCTCCAACCAGATTCTACCCCATTGACTACAACTCTCTGACTCCTTCCTTTCAACCAGTTCCTAATCCACCTCACTTCCTGGTCACCAAACCCATACCTGATCAACTTATCCACAA